ACACAGACAGCTTCTTCCCAATATGCGTTTTTGCAATTTACATATATGCAAAAACGCATAAAAACCATTCACCGGAAAAGCAACCGAGTCTCATGCAAAAAACTGGTAATCATGTGCCTGCAGGTCCCATGCGGCATTATAATGCAACACCTTCATCCCAACGTACGCTCTTCCTGCTGCATGCCTGAAGAGGCCAAAGCACGGCCAGTATGAGCCCAAGTGTTAGGCTACAGCGCAGGGATTATTCCTGGTGTTAGCAACCTGCGAGTTTATTGCAAAAACGCATGATCGCGCCGGCAAATCTTGTGTTCCAGCTCGGGTGTTTTGTAAATTAGCACTAGTTCCACGTTTTTGTTTATTTGGTTTTGTAATTTGGATAAAAATGAGAAAAATGTAAAAAATGCCGAGTGAAAATGGCGCACATCGCGTGTTTGTGTTACCAAGTGGTACTTGCGAATAAGTGGCCATTCGGAGAAGAAAAAGGGCAAAGGGGGATGGATGAGAGCGTCTTCCAAGGAGCTAACACACATCAAGTAGTGGGAGCTAGTTGACAACAGCATAAGTTCGAAGGTCTGGCAACAGATGAATTGGACGTTCGGGACCAACGCATGCAACGTCACTGGGATTCTTGTGTCGTTTGTCCGAGCGGTCTTGATGTGTTTTATAGTTTTCAACACTCTCGGGGTTGTTGTAATAGAATGTTATTCATGCTGCCTATGCATGTTTTTTTATAAAAGCATTAGTTGATTTTTTAGTATGCTCTTGCAAAAGATTTCAGATGTCTCGCCCCTACAGAGCTTACGAAAATGACCTCTTTGTAAAGTACTGGTTCACACAAAGTAGAATCCTCCATGCTGTTACAATTCCACCGCGCGTCGAATGCAGTTATATCAGTCTGTTTTGGTGTTATCATGCTTCCACTGGTTCGGTTCAAATCTGTTTTGCTTGCAGTGCGCACTCGCATTATCTCTTCAAAAATCGCTCGCTTAATGCCCTGCTGTCCCGCTGGTATCACAAACTGATAGTCAGGAAATATGTAACTTGTTCTGCTCCATAAATTCTTGTGCTTACGGTCGTGGGATTGCCAGACGTGTCACTTGTCTGACCATGAAGAATTACCGCAAGCACCTCATCTTCTAGGTTTTGTTTGGTTGCTTTGGCTAACGAATAGTTTCGCATTGTTGCATCGTTGAACTTTTATAATTTTAAGAAAAATGGGTCGATCGCTTGTTAGGCCGCTGAGGTTTCTGCTTCTGATGGTGCTTATTTTATCGGACTGTCAACGGGTCGAATGGGATGCTTCTAATTTCCCGAATCCTACAACAGTTGATTTTAAACGTTGTAATATGCGAACAACAGCAAACATCTGCGATCCAGACAAAGTGCTTACCGAATCACAGCGATATCGTCTGAATCACGAATTGCACCAACTGGAATCTCGGACAAGACAGGTGTGTTTAGCATCGTCAGCGCGTCGCCGCTAGAACTCCATCTTTCCTTTCAGTCAGAAATAGTTCATATTACGGTTGAAGAATATTTTTTAACTGCGGTGTTGACAGAGCAATGCATTTTAGCTTTTTCATTTAAAAATCCCCAATAAACACTTCTTTTGTTTATACGCGCTGAATAAAACACTTTTAATCGTAGTGGGAGGCAGCCGCGGTAGTACTTCACCGGCTTTCAGATGCCAAGTTGGCGTTTGGCTTGGTGAGGTTTCTTGACTTTCGACCGTCATATACTGTAAGGGACGCCTGCTGCATTTTTTTAATTCTCGAGTATTACTGAAATCTTTTAAAAAGTTTCGATTTGTGCAGTGAGCGACCGCCTTCTTGGTTTTTCGGTGCTGTACCACATTCTTAACTGCAGGATCATGCTCCAGATTTCTGTCAAAAGAAAGGAATTACTGCTGCGATGGCAATTGTCAAGCACGTTCGAGGCGGTTCGGATGCGGTAAATTCGTTATTAGTAGTTCTGCGCATGATTTGCTTTTTATCGATCCGTTGCTCTGTTCTGGTACTATTAACATAACTTCAACTAGTTTGTGGAGTGCAGTCGTAGGTCGGGCAACTTTCGTATGTGGAACAGATTATGAGTGTTTTGTCCTCTTTTTGCACTCGTCTCTAAGTTAAGAGAGTTTGATGTCCATATTAGTGAGCTCCAGTAAAAACTATATAAATAAAGCCTTCTGTCTAGTAAGCCGCGTGCGGGGTATTGTTGTGGTCATGATCTAAAGTAGAACTTGATGGAAGTTTTATTTCCTCTATTTACAGTAGTTGAAAGTTTCGAGTCTTTAAGTGACCGCAATCAGAAAGGTGACCAGTTGCTCGCATATGAAGAGTTTTTATGCACTATTAAAGACAAATAGGTAGAGTTGCAGTTTACGTGTGTTTACGCCCCAATAAAACTGGCCGCTGGTGGCACTGATGGTCTCTTCATTGTCAGAATATGTGTAATCGTCTGTTAATGAAGTACCGTTCCGGCACTCATCAACTGTATTTGCTTGATTTCATGCTAGCGATTTCTGAATAACGGGAAATTCCTTTAGGATTCTAGTCAAAAACTGAGAACACGCAGAGGACGGGGAGTTAATTTTGAGCTTTTTCGGCTGATACACCACCCTTGATGTGTTCTCAGCCAACACATAAGGTTCTGTTTCGTGTTTATGTTATATTCCAAGCGGATCGCAATTTGTCATTTTAAGCCAAGGCTGAGTCACAGACCTTGTCATCTTTTAACCTGTTCATCGAATCTACTTAGTTTATAATAGGTTTGGAAGGTGACCAACTAGTCGATATGTGAGTTGTGCATCATTAGGGGCATATAAAAATGATTTTTTTTTAGACCATTAAAGAAATAGCAAATGCAATCCTTCGGAAATGGACGCTGGATGAGCAGTGCCAGAAGTCGGTGGTTATTGTCGTAGCAACAGAAGACCATCGTTTTTGGGCAGCACGCGATGATCGAGTTCCTGTTTATGGCCAGGAATTTGATCAGATATTCTCAGAGCAGGTAGGACTGTTTTAGTTTATGCATCAAGATCATTCAGACTATCGGCTCGGATATGTCAGTGTAACTGGGATGTAACCATGTACTGCGCATAATTAAACATAAACTTTGCAAAATTTAGGCCTCTATTACTCGAGTTTTACGTACCTTCTGTCTTGTGTGCTACACGTTTCATTATGCGTTTTGTGCTGTGTAACAGCAGCACAAAATTCATGTTGTCACGGGGTTGTCTCTCTGCGTCTGTTTCCACAGTAACTTGTCCGCAGCTTTCAACTCGGGAACCAAAAAAGCTAGAAAGCTGAAAAGTAAGGGTAATGTTCTGCACCTACGTGTGACCCCGCATATTTAAGTTCAGCTTCCCAGTGCCTGCGCATAAAAGTTTCGGCAGGGAAAATTATTATCTCGGGAACTACGGAAGCTAGGAAGCCGAAATTTTATGGGTATGTGCCCTGTCCATATGTGGTCCAGAAAATTTAAAGTCAGCTTTCCCGTGCCCGTGGGTAACATATACGGCCCAGTGAAAATTTTCGCGGGTAAATTATCTCAGGAATCACGGGAGCTGAAATTTTAGCGTAGCGTCCTCTGTCCACGTATGACTTCGCAAATTCTTGTCGTCTGCTTGAAAGTTTTAGTGGGAAAAATCATCTCGGGAGCCAGAAGAGCTATGGGGCTAAGAATTTCAGGAGGATGTTTCCTGCCTAAGCGGGGACTTCACAAACTTGAATTTAGTTCTTAAGTATGCTGAACTCTCACGTACGAAAGTTTTGTCAGAAAAATCACCCGAAAACCAGAAAATTTGGAGACTGAAATTGTGGAAGGATACTCACCCTTCGAGATTTCAAATTCAGCTTTCACGTGCTGTTAGTGAAACTTTTAATCGGGAATTCCGCAATTTTCGAGCTATTTTTTGCACATATTAAAGTTCAGAGCAGTGAAAATCATTAGCAGGCAGTCGTTCGGTGGACGGAATTGCACAAAACGCATGATCGCACCGGCTGCCCTGGTGCGCGTCACTATTTTTTTTGTTTTTGGACCTGACAAGATTATCAAAATAGGGTGCTAGAATACTTGTTTATTATCCACAGAAGGACTTTGTTTTTTTTTTTTTTTTTTTTTCGTAGACATAGTTACCATAAATAGATCGCCGTTCATCTGACTAAGCGTTCATGCGGTGTCGAAGAATATTGCTAACATTCATCACTGCCTTCTTCCAGTCGCTGATGAATTTAATCATGTTTGTGATTATTTTTTGCATGGACGTGATAATATCTGAAGAGTTGAGGTAGTTCTTCCAGTATGATTCCTTAACGACGTCTTCGGCGCCATAAAGTTGCTGTTTTCTTTTGTCTTTCAGTGTACAACTTCTGGTTAGTAATTGGACGTTTCATGGCTGAAGCAGACATAACTGTCAACTTTTTCCAAATCCGCAGACATATGGACGCTGTACCAGTTTTCTTTTTCTACGTTGATTTTCAAGTCCATTTCGTACTTTGACCCATCGTTACATTTTTTTTTTATCTCACGTGCACTGTTCGCATTGTGAACTATGCCGCCCATGAAGCTTAAATCATTCAACTGTTCTTCATTAATGACTAATCTTCCGTGCCGGTCCAGTTAACATAATACAGCCTTGAGACATCATGGAAGATTTATTCCACATTCTTCTGGATTGGTGTGGATATTGGAAATGTGCACACCATTATTATCTCGATCAAGCAGTCTGCGTTCTTGTCCTTAAATGTTTCGGCTAAAGTCCTCGCGATCGCTTTATTCACATGTACTCGTAACGCGCCAGTTCGTGAAAACGACGAAACGAAGACAAATAACGAAAGTTGTTATTCCTGCATGCATTTAGTCAATTTTTTGAGCCGGAATACGCCACAATGTTATTTTTACTGGATTCAGCCTGCCGTCGGAGTTGCTTTGCACTGAGCTCCACTGACGGACTCGATGTGTGGAAGGAAGGCTAAGTTTGTAACAAACTGCGATGCAGCGGATCAGAATAAGCCATTTATCGTTGCTTCTGCTCGCATTATGATGCGAACAGTAGTAGTGCATCAGAGAAAGTAATCAATCCGTTGCCACTGGCACATCCTTCAACACTAAATGTATTCGATAGACTGCATTCCCGTCTATGAACGCACCGGTTTATTAGCGCAAACCACTTTTTTTGTGTCATTCTGTGTCTCTTCACTGAATTAGAATTTTTCCAGTTTTTCTTTGCACTGTTTCGTTTTCTGAAAATTAAAACAAGTTCTTTTTTGTTGCAGAAGGAGCTTTTCCGGCAAGGTAACTATCCTCAAGCACTGGGCAATATTCTGCAGCAGACATGGAGCAAAGCGCTTTCAAAGCAGGGAGCAGGAAGCCGTGAGCCAGCCGATGGAAGAGGTAGTGGTGCCGGTCGAGACGGCTTCGGACCACCAGTTGGCCCGCCACCACCTGTCGATATCCGTCCACAGCCAGGCGGTGGTAAACATGAAGGACTGTTACCGAAAATACCATTTTGGGTTTGGCTTGCACTTATCCTTATTATCATACCATTGCTGTGTTGTTGTTGCATATGCTATTGCTGTTTTTGCAAAAAAAGCAGTAGTCCGCGGCGACAGGGGCCATCAGACATCGAAGGTGCAGGAGGAGTCCCGATGGGCGGTGATGGAGGTGGAAGACCTGGAGGCAGAAGTACTGGTATGAATAGCTTCCTTGGCGGATTGGGTGGTGCTGGAATAGGCCATTTAGCTAGTCGATTTCTTAGTGGTGGTGGAGGTGGTGGCGGTTTGGGTGGTCTGTTTGGTGGGAGCGCTGGTCGTCGAGGCGTTCCAACCGACCCAGACTATCAGGGTGGCGGTGCTTATCCGGCTGCGCCGTTTCAGCCAGCCCCTAAAGCTGGAGACTACGGGGGTGGTGGTGCTGGCGGGAAAGGACTTTATCCAACAGCAGCTGTTCGTGATGATGGTGGCGGTGGTGGCTGGTAGATTACATGTAATATTTAAAGGCCGATATTGTATTTGGTATATTTATGCAAATGGATCATAAACGCGTAAATCTGGATTTATAGCATGTAAGAGCTGGCATCTACGACGCATCAGCCTCTTTCGTGCTCCGTTCTCCGACGATCGTTTCTCTCAAATTGCTCGAAAACGTTGTAAGCTGTTCTACCACAAGTGCATCTTAGAGATAACAAAATTCATATGCAGTATCGCATAAAAAACAAAACATTAGCCCGCTGCAGTGTTGATCTCCAAAAAGACATAAATGCATCGAGAAACCTCGAATCGGAAGCTTGTCTCTCATATGCCTCTGCAGTTTCCCAGAAGTTTCAGCCTTTTAACTATTTCGATAAGGATCATCAGTTTGTTGCCAATACATAAATGAATTAATCATCTTACTGTGTTGTTGTATATTTATATTTCCAACATTTCAGCTTAGAATACTTACAGATTGACAACTGACACATTCACTGCTGATCCTGTTTGCATACTTTATTAATTGCTGCTTTCGTAAATCGGCATTCTGCCGGTAGTTTCGCTTTTTAGAAATAACCTGTGATTTGCAGTCGATCACTGGGGTTGACTTTTGCAAATTCTGGCGTGATTTATGGATGACTCGATTTCAAACAGATCGAATTCTATGAGTCATTATTTCGAAGTCAACTTCAGTGAATGAGCACAGTGAAGTTCTTTTTCTAGTAGAGTCAGTTGAATAGTTTTTGTATCTGCTTTCCATGCCGATTTAAAAACTTCACACTTGCCTGCAGTTATCCTCGTGAACCACATGAACATTCATGCCTTTTCGTAAAGTGAGCGGCGCGGGGTATCACTTCAAATACGCGAGAAAACAAAATTCGGTGAGCAGAACATGCTGTTCGTTTTGCTGAAGATTGACAGATATTGCACATCAGTAAGTGATGTCCAGGAAAAAATAATCGACTTTTCAAGCAGCTCGCTTAAAGGTGAAATCGAACAAGCGGTGAGTAATATCTTGAGATATGCGTCTCTGGATCAAGGCCCTGCAAAACTGTATCGGGCATATGGATGCATCCTGGGAGCATGGGATTTTTACATCGATTGTTTAGGTTTAGTATTTTAATTAGAAGATACATTAGTTATTTGGTGTTTTAAACCAACGTTATCCGAAGTTAAAAAACCCTCTCTTGGAGGTTGTAATGGGGCAGAACCTGACATAGCGTCTGTGGCAGTTAAAAACAAAGATGGGCGATCCAGGATAGGAGGAGCTTGTGTAGGGTATGTAGCTGTACTTCATTTGTATCGAAAGCTTTAAACCGATTATTCGAGTGTTCTTGGTTAATTTTTGGATTTTTTTACCGCATGGGAAAGTAGGACAAAAACTGGCAAAGGAACTGATTATTTTCAAGTTGTAACTGAACAAAACCGACTACTTTATCGGGCAGTCATGTCAGAAATTTCGTTTCAAGGACAAAGAGGCATTTCCCTTTGCTGCATGAAATAAAAGCTTGGTCATATTCAATTTCGAATGAAAAAAAACTTCAAACTGGCTCTCGTAGAACGTTTTTCACAGTGCTTGGAACAGTTCTATTGAAATTTACGGTGATGGTTATTCTCTTCCTGTGGATACCAGTTGCTGGTGTATGGTGCCCACTGGTTGTCATTTATGCGCCTATTGTACGTATCCTTCTCATGCTATTTCGTCTTGCCTACGCAGCATCTTAGTAGGGTCTGGATTTTATGCCGATACTCCAGCGAATTTTGATATGAGCGATGTTATCTCAAGATTCCCGGTGGTCATTTTTCTCAGAAATGTATATTACTTCTTAGTTATGTGAAGACACAGCTGACTTATGAGCGGCTATTCGTCTGTGTTACAGATAGAAGGTGTGGTCACGCGCTGTTAATAAAACGTGTTAATGACCGTTTATGCTGGCG